CTGGACACATAAGGTAATCTAGCCCCAGGACTCCACCCCCCACCCTCAACAGATTCTACTTTTCACCACCAGCACCCGATCCTGCCTTCTGCATCTCCCACACCCCTCAATCACCGGCCCTGAGCCCTTCATGCACCCCTATCCTGACTCCTGCACCCCCAGCAGCAGCTTAAGTCCCATTGAATAAAGTCTGAGTACGATGTTTCATTTATGCTATTATTAATCATGTCAATTATCAAATTATATATGTTTATTCATGCAAATTGGCATTCTTATACTGGCTCTCTGTTGACCACTTGTTCTGAATTTTGATTTAGTTTGGCTCTTTGGTTTGAAATGGTTGCCAACCCCGATAAAGGAAGATAGGTCCATCAATGGCTACAAGCCAGAATGGGCAGGGATGGTGTACCTAGCTTCTCTTTGGCAGAAGCTGGAAATAGGCAACAGGAGGTGGATCATTTGATGATTGCCTCTTCTGTTCATGCCTTCTGAAGCACTTGGCATTGGCCACTGTTGAAGACAAGATACTTTTGTAATAGATAGACCATTGCTCTGACCCAGTATGGCCATTCTGATGCTCTTATATAGAGCCCAAGTTTATCTGCCCCTTGTTGTAATCCACTAGACTCTATTACCCTTCCAGAGCTCAGACAGAACCCAAGAATTCTGATAGTGTCTCTGCAAAACTAGTACAAAAGTAAGAATATATATGTAAAATTTTAAGACTCAGTGTCCCTTAAGTCACTTGCCACAAGATGTCAGCTATGTTAATATTAGAACTGAGTGGGTTTAATATTTAATTTTCATTCTTTTATATATGAATTAGATACCATGCTCCAGGTTTTCTAGTGCCGTCGTAGCCCTGGTAAGAGTTGATGTGTGTGGGGGGAAGAAGAGCTAATCACATCACCCACCCCAATTTACTGCTTGGCTTGTACTGAGCATGCTCAGTAACACTGCTGGACCCACTGTCCCTCTCGTCACAACATGCAGATTACCCCTCCCCTGCCAAAATTTGAAATGGCACCCCCGGCTCCCACATTATGTGGAATAGAAGGTTTAGCATTGTATGTTCTTCACTGTGGTGAAGAGGTCAACCTGGTAAGTGCCATACTTCTAGAAGAGCATGGCAGCAACCTGAAGATGGAGAGCCCACTCACAGTGAGAGAACTTCCTGCTCAGCTGGTCAGCTAACAGTCCCCATTCCTGTGAACTGACAAGCCTCCAAGTGAATGGTGTGCTAGATGCAGAAGTCCAAAAGATGGACAGCTTCCTGACACTGTGCTGGAGCGAGCCTCCATCAGTGATTTACGGAGAACATTGTGGCAGTGTTCTCTATGAAAATCCAGACCACTCGGGCAGATAGGTGAAGGAGGAACTACCTTCAAACCGTCCATAACTCCTGGACATTTATGTGGAGATGCACCTCCTGCATGGACCAAGTACCCTTGGTTCAGAGACAGCCAATATGGGAGCCCCAGCCCAGATCCAATGCAATCAATACCAGTGCAATGGAGTGGGGAGGGCTCAGAATGGCCCTTCTGCCCCAACGTTCTCAGGGCCTGTTCACCAGACAAGACTGCCAAGAACTGGGGCTGGAACAGTCACTGCCTTGACTACCATATCCTAAACTAAATATCCTAACTAATTATGACTGCATGGCTAGTTTCACAAACACTGATGAGTAAGTTTTCATTGTATTGTATTTTTAGCCCCTAGCTTGTTTGAGATTGTGTCCAAACAGTTTGAGATCCTAGATTCTGCCCATGTCTAATCAGGCAAGTTTTGGACAATCTGGGCCCGGGCTCATGGCGCTGCAAACGGCTAGGACCCCTCTCCTTTGGCCTTTTTTTCCTGCCAGCTGGCAGGCTTTTCTCTTACCCTCCCCTCTGCTTCCTCTTATCTGACAGGCTTTTCTCTGCCCCCTACCATCCAGCAACCTCCCGCTCGGGTCCCTTCATCCTGGCTAGCAAGCGTCTCAGCCATCTCTCTTCCCGCCCCTTTTCCATGCTGGTCAGCAGGCTTCTCTGCCCCTCCCTTCTGGTTTGCTAAGGGCTTCAATTGCATGCAGACCCTCCCCTTCTGGAAAGCCCAGAGTGGCACAGGGTCCCGCTCTGCAAGGAGAAAAAGTTGCAGCATGTGAGGGAGCCTGTGGGGACTGGGCAAGGCTTGGGAGAGGGGGAGCAGAGCTCAGGGAATAGAGCCAGGCAACAGACTTCAGGGAACAGTGTGTCTGGAGAAGGGAGAACTAGGCTGGGGATGGCTGCAACAGGAGTGGGACTGGGAAGGGGAAGAGGAGGGGCATTGCCTGGCTCAGTAGTCTAGTTCTCCCGAGGGACACCAGCTGTTCCAACTTGCTCCATGCACTGCATCTGCCCCTCTCCCTTCTGCCCACATGCCTTGCCCCTTCCCTGCCTGCAACTCTCACCAATCTCCTTTTCAGCTTTTAATAGCTCATCACCTATTAAACCATCTTGTTAGTTTTTAAAGTGCTACACAGTCCTGTTGTTGGGGTCACTGGGCATGATCCTAGGTAACTTGGAGGAGTGGAAGATCAAAAGAATTGATGAAGCGCCCCCGCCCTAGGCCCAAGCACCCTAAAAGCACCCCTCCCTTCCGCCCTCCCCCCGGCATAACTTTTCTCTGGCTCGCTAATAGCTGGGAACGGCAAAACAGACCTTGAGGTCTTTGGCTCACCCAGGCTCGGGTAGCTCGGTATCAGGCTAAGCTTTTAGAGAACCCTGAAGTGACCTTGCTAACCTGTCCCTCCCTTAACCCGAAATTGTACCCAGGAGCAAAAATATGCTTTAAGTAATGAGTCCTGGCATCCCTATTGGAACAGCACGCATCTCCCATCGCCCATTAGACTACACTCCGTTCCCCCAGGGCTCCTCTGTTGCCAGCAATCTGCCACAGAAACACACACCTGGTTTTCTGGTAATAGCACTTTCCAGTATTATTTGTCCCCTATAGCTAACACCTCTATCCCTTTGTTCAATGCGTCAGGTCAAGATTCCGGTGAGGGCTTGCAATTTTACTCGCGCCGCACTGCTCTGCGTGACTTACAGGGCTATAATGGCATGGGGGCAAATGGCCAGTCCTTTTATATATGTGGAACTTATGCTTATAAGTGGCTGCCCCATCGATGGTACAGAAGCTGCTATATAGGATACCTTACCCCTCCTCTTCGTGTTTTAGCCCAACTTACGCCTGGTTGCCCCAGGCGTACCAGGTCTCTGCACGCCACTCCTGAGCCCATTGGTGAAGGGGACAGGCTTGGGATGATCCTGCTCCCATCCTATGGGGTGGCACGACTGGCCCAGCTTTATCGGCGACTCTCTGTGTTCCTCACTAAGTTCGCCAATGACACCTTGGCCACAGAGAAAAGCCTTAACTCGGAGCTTTACCAACTGCGGTTACTGTCCCTCCAGAACCGCCAAGCCTTAGATTATGTTCTGTCGCTCGCTGCCTCAAACTCTTCTAAGTCCAGGTTCAAAATGTCTACCCTGGAATTCCCCCAGGCTGGCCAACCTTAACCCGAAATTGTACCCAGGAGCAAGACCCTAAAATTTTTGATTCCCTCTGGAACTGGCTATCTAGCCTGGGAGGACTGGGGGGAGGCATTGTTCACCTCCTGCTTACAGGTCTTGTATTATGTCTCATCACTCCCCTCTTGATCACTTGCTGTAAAGCGCTCCTACATAAAATCTGTACTTCCCGTTCCCTGGAAACCCCACTATACCCTCTCATAAATGACCCCAGTTCCTTAGCACTTAATCAGCTTGTCCTCAGAATACGAGAAGACTCAGACAAAAGTTTGTTGAGTATTCTCAAAGGAGGGAGCTGTTGGGTCACTGAGCATGATCCTAGGTAGCTTGGAGGAGTGGAAGATCAAAAGAAGAGATGAAGCACCCCCCCTCCGCCCCTTCCCCCCCCCCCAGACATAACTTTTCTCTGGCTCGCTAATAGCTGGGAACGGCAAGACAGATCTTGAGGTTGCCTAGTTACTATCAGTGGTACAGAAGAAGAATTCAGATGCCTCTCTGTAGAGGGGAGAAGGAGGATAGGGCTGGCAACATGTCCCAGCGTGGGAATCTTGCTACAGTTCACTATTTTCCTGTAAGTAAGGAGGGAAAACTGCTTACGTTGATGTGCTTGATCTGAGATGTCTAGTCTCCTGGCACCTATTTGAGTGTTCAAATAAACTTTTGCTTCTCCACACCGGTGTGTTTATTGGAGCGCGCGCACACCAGGCACCAAACCCAGCTGTTGCCTCCCTCGAGCACTTTGTGCCGGCAACACTTTTTTTTTTCTCCCCTTTTCACTGTCACTCTGTGTTCTGAAATGTAAGCTCAAATGCCAAGCATCCCCTTTCCTCCCTTCCCCAGCACGAATCAGCAGCAGACTTGAGGTGGGGGTGGGAGGTACTCTCCTCAGTACCTAGGCGGAGTGTGCAAGTTAAAGGGGGGGGGAAAAAAGGGTGACTGCTCCTGCCGGTGGTTAACAATATGCCTGTGTCAACAAGAGAGAGACACTAAAAGGGAGGTTGTGTACCTGGAGCAGAAAAGCAGCCATCAGGATTGCAGAATTCAAGGGAGGGTATCAATCTAGGCATGGAGGATGGACTTACTTTTGAAAACTTTTATTTAGGGAAAAGAGACATCTCTTTTCCTTGTGGATGATGCCTGAGTAGAATTCCCTTTAAGTACACTGCACAATCCAAACACCTCTTTGCATTTCAGGCTCAGAAGGAAATGAAAAGGCCATTTGGGAGATGATGGCCCAGAGCCATGGCAGGCAAGGGCCTAGATTGAGGGCTGGGTTCACTCATTACTATTAGCTATTTCTTTTTTGTAATTCAAATGGATTTTGGGTCACGGATCTCTCAACCATCATGTAAAATGCTTCCCTATGGCCTTTTGCCAGGCACCCAGAGGTATCTCACTGCCATGTACCTATCCTAAGGGGGGGGGAGGGGGGAATGCAGTGTTGTTTCTTACCTTTATGCAGCCAGTGGCCTATACTTGCCATTCCCATGCTGGAACCTCACATTTACTTACTGAAAATAAAATGTGCATAACTTTAAAACATTGTACACAGACTATGTATTTTTGGTGCCAAATGACCTCAGGAATGTGGGGTGCCATGCAGTGTAGAGGGTCTGAATGGGAGGACACTGGACATAGGGATTTGTGGTGATCTGAGTGAGGTCACTACTGGGCAAGGAGGCAGTAGGGTAGGCACGCTAGCAAGGCAGGGCTGGGGTTGGGGGTTCAGGTGAGAAGGAAGTAGAGGGGTCAGGGTGAAGATGGTACTGTGCAGAGGCTGGGTGAAGGAGGAAAAATGTTGGCATTAGGGGCACAGTGCCATCAACTCTGCCGCTCCTACAATGGGGCACAAGATGGAGGTTCGGGGGTGAGGGAGCCCATGATAGCCAAGGGAAATAGGGAGCACCATTCCCAGGTTGTGAGGGAGTCAGGGGTGCCAAAATACAAGTTCGCTCCGGGTGCCGTTTTCCCTAAGGCTGGCCCTGTCTGTGATAAATTACTAGCCTTTCCGGTACTGAAAATAGCATTACAAATATGATTTCTATTAGCATGGATGTAGTGGTGTCTTAAGTCTGTAGATCACACAACACTATTGTTGTACATAGCATAAATCTAGGTTACATTTATTGGATTGAGTTTCAGCCCCAACTCTCAGGATCAAATCACTGCAGAGTCTCAATTATTTAACTGATCATTTTAGCGAATGGAATAAATAAAAAAGGGTAGGAATGAGAGTTCTTGCAAGACAAAGAATGGGGAAATGGAAAAAACAAAACCACACACACACACACACACACACCCCACGAGTGGTCCTGAACAACAGTATATTTTCCCCCATGAAGTGATGCTGAATGCTATACTAAGGCAATAAGAGCTTAAGACTTACCTTTTCTGGGCAGAAAATAGTGCCTTGATGCATAGTATGTGAAAGCCTTCTGCTGACATGAAGGGGGGCTTATCTGTTTCTTTCACTACTGAGGAGACTATAGCAATGCATTTGTCAGTGTCCATAACTAAAAGACTAATTTTGCCCTTTACATGAGACATTTGACAGCTATGCTGAACAGGATTTCAAAGTGTGAGCCTCCCAACTTTGGTAAAAACAGTCCTTAACATCTCTCAAGTCAGGATATTTGTACATTTCCAGACAATAAACTACACTGAAATGGAGTTAGAATCCTCAACACCCATCAGTAACTTAGGTCAAGTGAATTTCTAACTGCAATGAAACCAGTTGTTACAAACTGAGAACATCCACAGTCATGGTTTAACGTCCAAATATCAAATATTAAGATAAGGTATTTTAATCGATTTTCTGCTCTGTAGTGATACGAAGTAATAATTACCTTTAATGCTCGACAGTAGTTATAAACCTCAGCTAAAAAAAAAAAAAAAAAAAAGATTCCTGATGTTATCCTTAACAGTTATACCAGACCCTTAAATTCCTTAAGTCTAATTTGGCTTTGCTCCTGCTGTTAAAGCAGCTGGAAGTGGTCGTCTTTTGGATGAAAGGTGTTTTCATGGACTTATTTGTAATGTTCTATCAGTGTTGGGGTCACTGTGGTGGAGGCTGCACTGAAGTGGGACAGAGAATCCCTACCCTGAAGGGCCTGCTGTATTTAAGATGCCAATCGCTTGGACAGTGCAGAGTAATATTTGTCAGCTGCTTCTGAAAAATTCAGCTTCATACTTCATTGTCTAGAACAGTGCTATTAAAAGTTAAATAGCCAAGTAAAAACATTTTCCTGCAGATATTAAGGTGTTTAAAAACTCTGACTCTGTGAAAGAAAAAAAGCTGCATAACTAATAAAGCTAGCCTACACGAGTCTAGAGCATCAATATCTTTTTATATAGATGACATGTCTGAATCACTAACTTTAAATTTTTCAAAAAAGTGTCAGATAATCCTGCAGGAAATCTTATCCTGAATAAGAAATTAGTATTGGAGTTAAAGTTTACACACCTATTAACACAAAGTTTATTCCTACGATTCAGCTATGTCCCCTCAAACCAAACCAAATACTGATGGGCTTATTTACATGGTGCTGTAATGCAGACCATAGAAATACAAAACCTAATGTACACCGACTGGCTTCAGTTGACTCCAGTAATGTATACTAAATGTATACCAAGCCCTGATTAGCAATTATTTCTATAGCACATAATCTTCTCACCACTGAACATACTGAGACAGTACATCACTGCATGTAGTCAGCAGTTTTGTTCCAGTATGACACTGTATTCTTTGATTGAAAAATATAATCAAGCCTTTTATTACAATTCCTGGTGCCTCAGGATTATTTATCATGTCAAATGCTGTACCGCCAGCAGACATCTCTGGTGGTTTCTTCTAGTAGCTTAAGACAAATGTTGTTCTCCAGAATAAATTCATTTATGTGACAGACGAAACAAAATGCTTTTACAAAAATATGTATTCCATAGATCCACCTTTAAAGGAGCCTCAATGTGCACTGGAGATAGTTTTCTTGTGTCTAAGCACTTCGGCCTGATCTACACTAGGAGTTTAGATCAAATTGTACTTCATTTGATCAATTTTTTGAACAAGTCCAAACCACCAAACCCATTCTGTTGACTTTAAGGGCTATTAAAATAAATTTTGGTATCCCTGCTTTTCACAAGGATTAACAGTAAATTCAATCTTGCATGGTCAACTTTAGGGTAATGCAGATGTAGCTCTGTGAAAGTAGATGTTCTTGACAGTAGAAGATGTCTCACTATAACCACACTGACTAGGACAGTGGTCCCCAACCTTTAGAGGCTCCCAGGCGCCCGAGGGGTGGGGCCACTCACGCGCCGGGCGCCCGAGGGGTGGGGCCAG